CGGTGTATGCTTTAATATGTATGATGTGATGCATGTGATGCTTGTATGTATTATTGCATGGTGGATGATTGTGGCTTAGTTATATTTGTTGTAATTTTAAATACGGCCTGCGTGTCGTGCCTCATCTCTATACTCTGGATGTAATTCTCTTCTTTACCTCAAATATTCTTTTCTCTCGAAAATTATAAGAAGATAAGAAGACGAAGTCCGTTCGTGATAGAGAATCCTAAGGAAGACGTGATGGGCCGGAGATAGAGATCTCTTGATCAAGGCGCTATCGTTTGTTTTTCTTTAGGAGCCACAATCATTTCACGTTTACTTATTATGCATGTGATGTATGATTGAATGTATGCATGTATGTGATTTTCGCTAGTGCATACGCGCGGTGTATGCCATAGGCAAGACTGCGTTATAAATCCCTCATAATTTTAAGTCTGTGCCACCCCGACGCCCCGTCACTCGTCAAACCCAATTTAGATCGGTAACGGACTCACCCAAGTGAGACGCCCGGTTTACGTTGGTTAGGCGCGAAACCCGTAACTAGGGTACTAACTCGCCCCGGGTTAGTCTTAACTAAGTCTTGGTCATAAGGATGAGAGACTTAGGGCACTGCGGTAGGATCAATAAATAAAATCAGATCATCCAACCAGAGTTGTAAATTGTTACAATTGGAATTTATTCCTACCAAAAATAATTTAACTGTAGGGCAAGATGCAAAGCACAACTATAGTTAAATGAAATATGGATCTGGCCCAATTAAGAATTTTATTTAAAAGAATCCACCGAACCAAGAGTTGTAATAACGATTGCAATTGGAATGAATTCCTACCTAAAAAATTTAACTGTAGGGCAAGATGCAAATCACAACTATAGTTAAATAAAATATGGATCTTGGCCCGCTAGGGTATTCTTCAAATAGAAACCCCAAGTCAATAGGTTTCGTACCTAAGGGTAGTTGACTTGTTAGAAATAGTGGGAGAGTATTTAATAAAGACCTATTAGATACTTAATTCATGATAATAACTATCTTCGCAAAATTCTGTAGATGGCAAACAACAACACAAACAACCTCGCCTTGCGTTCCATTCTGGATAAAGATAAATTGAACGGAACAAACTTTGTTGACTGGCAACGCAATCTCTCCATTGTTCTCCGCATGGATGAGAAAGAGTATGTGCTCGAAAAGCCCATTCCTCCTGCATATGACACATGCGAATCTTGTTTATTGGGTAAGATGACAAAATCTCCTTTCACCGGACACGGTGAAAGAGCTGGTGATCTTCTAGCACTTGTTCATAGTGATGTGTGCGGGCCTTTCATTACAACTACACGAGGTGGTTATTCATACTTCATCACTTCTTGTGATGACCTCAGTAGATATGGCTATGTGTATCTCATGAAACACAAGTCAGAATCCTTTGAAATGTTCAAAGAATTCAGGAATGAAGTTGAAAAACAACTTGGCAAAAGTATTAAAACACTACGATCCGATCGAGGTGGAGAATAGTTAAGTGGTGAGTTCGATGACTATCTTAGAGAGCATGGGATTTTATCCCAACTCACACCTCCTGGGACTCCACAATGAAATGGTGTCTCTGAAAGGAGGAATCGAACCCTGCTTGACATGGTTCGTTCTATGATGGGTCATTCGACTCTACCAGAATCATTCTAGGGGTATGCGCTGAGCACTGCAATATATACTCTTAACCGAGTTCCAACCAAGGCGGTTGAAGGAACACCATACCAGCTATGGACGGGCAAATGCCCGGTTCTGTCACACTTAAAGATTTGGGGCTGTGAGGCTTATGTCAAACGTCTTATGACGAATGGCAAGCTTGACGCCAAGTCTGATAAGTGTTTCTTCGTGGGATACCCAAAGGAAACTCGAGGGTATTCATTCTATCACCCTATCGATAAGAAGGTATTCGTTGCTCGCAATGGTGTCTTCCTCGAGAAGGAATTTCTCTCCA